TTTTAAAGGTTTATTTAAAAATCATAGCCAGGGCCAGGCACAGTGGCTCACACCTGTAATCCCAGCACTTTAGGAGGCTGAGGCAGGCAGATCATGAGGTCAGAAGTTCGAGACCAGCCTGGCCAGCACAGTGAAACCCAATCTCCACTAAAAAAAAAAAAAAAAAAAAAAATACAAAAAATTAGCCCAGCGTGGTGGCGTGGGCCTGTAATCCCAGCTACTCAGGAGGCTGAGGTAGGAGAATTGCTTGAACCCAGGAGGCGGAGGTTGCAGTTAGCCGAGATAGCACCGCTGCACTCCAGCCTGGGAGACAGAGTGAGAATCTTTCTCAAAAAACAAAACAAAAAAGATAGCCAGCTCTCCTGGAACTCCTTTGAGGATAAGCTCCCGGACCCTAGTTTTAGAAATGCTCCCCCACTTTGTTCTGTTCAGGACAGAACTATCTACCAATGCTTACCCAATGAATAGGTTTTGCTTATTATCTGGGGTTCTACTGAGCTGAGCGTCTGCCTTGAACTCTGAAAGCACCCCTGAAATATCCTCCTTCCCCTCTCCTCATCTGGTTCAAGAAGACCCAGGTTCTGCCCCAGCAAAAAGAGATGGCACCCTTGGGCAGCAGACACAGCTCCTTTAGTCCACGTTTTCAAAATCGAGGTTCAGGGAAAACCCAGTGTGAACCGACTGCTCCTCGGGATTTCCGTTAATCGGCCCATTCCCAAAGTGGCAAAAAATTCACACGGGACCCAAGCCAGCTAGAGGCCTCCTGAGGGGCTCACAAGGGCATCAGTGCCAGAAGCCCAGAGAGACAAAGCCAAATGACACAGAATAGCAAAATGTGAACCAGGAATCAAAGAGAAGAGATAAGAAGAGTAACAAGAAGAATGAACTACAAAGACTGGGAGCGGTGGGGGCGGGGGCAAACACATTTGTGATTTTCTCCCCCCCACCACCACCCCGTGAAATGTCAGTTTTGAAAACAGCTTCAGAAAATGTAACCAGCGTTTCACATCCCCAAAAAGAAGATGGGAGGGAGCTGTGTTACCTCTTACTTCGAAGCCCGGCATCAGGAAGGGGCCCCGCCAGTCCACGTTTCCACCAGGAGCTCATCCTGCGGCTCCCACCGTCCACGCATGGGCCCTCTCCCCAGGTCCCGAAGTTTCCCTCTCGGGGGTCCTAAACACCTTGCCTTTCACAGGGGAGGAACTCGGTCCTCCCGGGCAAGCAAATACTTTCCAACCGTCCTAAGCTGCCCAGGGGTCCCCAGAGAGAATCCCGGGCCGCCCACGCCCCACCCTGCTCCCTGCAGAGGCAGCCACGCCCGCCCCCGAGACGCCCACCTCTCCCGCACCCCAGGCCTCCCTACCCCACGCTTAAGCCCCCCATGCCCGGCTTCCTTCAAATTCCCCTTCCACTCAGGGCCCCCCACTTCCTGCCCACCCTCCCCTTCCAAATCTCAGGCCCCTCACTCTCCATTTCCCGCTTCCCTGCTCACTCTGGGCACCTCGTCCCTCCGGCCACCACGCACGCCCTCTTTTCTCTGTCTGATCCCTGGCACCCGCCCTCCACGCGCCCTCCCTGCCGGCCACCGGCTCGGCCCCTGGGACCCCATGCCAGGGACCCCACGCTCCGGGCCCCTCCCCGCCGGCCCCCGCCCCAGGCCGGCCTCGTGCGCAGCCCTGGCCCTGCACCCGCCCCGGGGCCCCGCACTCACGGCTGTAGAGAGCGATGCCCGCCGCGTCTGGGCCGGCGCGCACCTCGAGGCGTAGCGCCTGCTGCTCCGCGTGCCGCTGGATCTCGCCGTTCGCGTCGCCGATGGTGAGGAGGCGGGCGCCGGGGAACACGGACACTGCCGCGCAGGGCCCCGCGCCGCCCGGACCCGCCGCCCCCGCGCCGCCCGCGCCCGGCCCCACCGCCGCCGTCGCCGCCGCTGCCATTTTAGATCCGGCTCCAGGCCCCGCCGCCGCCGCTGCGCCCGGGCCCAGGTCGCCGCCGCCGCTGCCGCCGCCGCCGCCGCCGCCGCCGTGCAGGCCGAGGCCGAGGCCGAGCCGGGCAGCGCCGCCTGCCGGCCACGCTCCGCCTCGCCGCCGCCGCCGCCACCGCCGCCGCAGCCCGGTCGCGTGGCTCAGCGCCCCCTGCCGGCTGCCCTGGGCGCGGGGAGCGAGCGAGCGAGCGAGAGCGCGCCGGGGAGCGGGACTGCCCCGCCCCGCGAGAACGGTCGCCGCTTTGTGAGGTGGCTCCACCGCCCGGAACGGCGGGGCGGGAGTGTGCGTCGGGGGCGGTGCTCGGGCGGGAGGACACGCCCCTCGGAGGCCTGGGCCCCGCCCCCAAGCCCGCGCCTCCTTAACGGCCGCGTTGGGTGAGTAGGCGCGGAGGCGCGGAGACGGCGAGGCTTTGCTCGGTCGCGCGGACACGCCCTGGACCCCGCCGCGCATGAACGGCCGCCCTTTGTGATGCGGCTTTCCGGCCCCAACCTGGACACGCCCTTGAGACCGGGCCCCGCCCCCCCGGCCCGCCCGGCTTTGTGAGGCAGCCCGCAGGGAGGCGGGGCCCGGCCGCTACACGGCCCGGTACCTGCCCGCGCCCTCCCAACGGGACTCGCTTTGTGAGTCGCCCCGCTCTGTGGACGGCCGGGGGGGAAGGGCGTGGTCAGCACTGGGGCACGCCCACACGCCGTGGCCCCGCCCCCTGGTCTCCCCAACAGCGACTGTTTCCGAAGAGAAGGCCTCCGCCTCCCAGCGCAACCTAAGCCTGGTTGAAAGGACCTCTTCCCGTCTTTCGACCGCCCCTCCTCCCTTCCTTATCATCTCTGCCCCCTCACACTCCCTTCTTCATCCTTAAAGTTTAGCTCCTTTCGCACAAGATATCCTTGACCCCCTCCTCTCTGAGCCCCTCCTCCAACGATGCTAAGTCCGGCCCAGCCCGGCGCTGGCACCCTCTCCCACAACACAAACCCCTGTGTCTCTGCATCGCCACTCGCTTTGGGTGGCCCCATCCCTTTTGGGCCACCCAGTGGGCTTGGGTCAGTTCCCAGCACCCCAGCTTTAACTCTTCCCGAAACCTCATTTACGCCTCATTCCTTTTTTTTTTTTTTTTTTTTTTGAGACTGAGTTTTGCTGTTGTTGCCCAGGCTGGAGTGCAATGGCACGATCTCGGCTCACCGCAACCTCCGCCTCCTGGGTTCAAGCAATTCTCCAGCCTCAGCCTCCCGAGTAGCTGGGACTACAGGCATGCACCATCATGCCCAGCTAATTTTTGTATTTTTAGTAGAGACGAGGTTTCACCTTGTTGACCAGGATGGTCTCGATCTCTTGACCTCGTGATCCACCCGCCTCGGCCTTCCAAAGTGCTGGGATTACAGGCTTGAGCCACCGCGCCCGGCCTCCTTTTTTTTTTTTTAAACAAAGTCTCGCTCTGTGGCCAGGCTGTGGTGCAGTGGTGCGATCTCAGCTCACTGCAACCTCCGCCTCCCGGGTTCAAGTGATTCCCCTGCCTCAGCCTCCCGAGTAGCTGAGACTACAGGCATGCACCACCACGCCCAGCTAACTTTTGTTATGGTATTTTAGTAGAGACGGGGTTTCAGCATGTTGGCCAGGATGGTCTCAAACTCCCAACCTCAGGTGGTCTGCCCGCCTCAGCCTCCCAAAGTGCTGGGATTATAGTTGTGAGCCACTGGGAGGGGTCCTCATTCTACACGCCCCTCCGCCCCTAGGTGCCCGTCATTCCACCTGAGAAACCCCCTAATTCAACGACCGTTGCAGAGACCCCGGCATGGCACTGCTGCACTCCCCACACCCCCAGGAGCCTCCGCATACACCACTCTGACTGCCCTTGGGGGGTGCTTCAAATGCAGCGAATTCAGGTATGTACCATCCCGCCCCCAGCTATCCAGCCATGAGATCCAGAGGTCCCCAGTTTGAAGGATTCCACTCTATAGAGGCCTGGGAACACCTTGACACGTGTTATAATTAATAACTTAGGTAAGCCAGCAGGCAGACACACTCAACACACCCAAGGGCACCCTATGCTCAAAAACCCAGCGGGGAAGGGAGGAACTCCAGGGGTGTGCAGAGACCTGGGACCCCTTACGTCCCAGATGGGGGACCAGAAGGGGTCCTGACGTCTCCTTCTCTGGTGGTCCTGAGGAGCTGAAGGTCGAGAGGGGAACTTCCTGTTGCCTCTCCAGTGCCAGGCCCATGCCTTTGCCCTCTCTCCCACTCCTCTGTGATGAAAACCCTAAGGCCAGGGTTCCCCTTCATTTCCTGTCCAATTCCCTGAGAAAGCAGCCAACAGAGCCCCCTCTCCACCCCAGAAGTGGCTGGAGGGACCTCAGGCCCCGAATGCCTGGAGACAGAGGGAGCCCCCAGTCCTCAGCCTCACTGGCAGGCCCGGAAAGTGCTGAACTCGGGGGGCTCAGGTGAGGAGGATGCGGAAGTGGGCCTCTTCCGGGTCCTGGAGTTGCCGGGGGTGGCGGTGGTCCCTGAGTGATCATCCAAGCTGGCTGGGTCTTCTTCTGGCGTCATTTTCTTTGTCCATGGAAGAAGACACAGAGAAGCAGGTGATTTGGGTTTCAGGATCTAGGATTCTCTACGTTCTGAGCCGAGACTGTGCCAGGCCAGCAAGTCTCATCTCATCTCACCCCCACTCACACCTACCTGTCCTTGTCTTCCCTTCTCCTGCCTTGCTTTCTGCTAAATAGGGGACCAGAGAGCCTGGATTCAAACCCCAGTTCCATCACTCCGTATCACCGTAACCTCACTTGAGTGGCTTAACCCCTCTAGGCCTCAGTTTCCCCTTCTGCAAAATGAGGAGAATGCTAATACTCACCACTTCCTAGGTCTGCTATGAGGCTTAAAGGAGTAAAACTGATAAATCGAATGGCAGGTCATAAGCTTTTCTTTGCTAAGTGAACACAACTATTAATATTATCTCCTCTGTTGGGCTTGGTGACTCATACCTGTAATCCCAGCACTTTGGGAGGCTGAGGCGTGTGGATCACAAGGTCAGGCGTTCAAGACCAGCCTGGCCAAAATGTTGAAACCCCGTCTCTACTAAAAATACAAAAATTAGCTGGGCGCAGTGGCACATGCCTGTAATCCCAGCTACTCTGGAGGCTGAGGCAGGAGAATCATTTGAACCTGGGAGGCGGAGGTTGCGGTGAGCCAAGATCGTGCCATTGCACTCCAGCCTGTGTGACAGAGTGAGACTCCGTCTCAAAAAAAAGAAAAATACAAAAATTGGCCAGGGGCAGTGGCTCACACCTGTAATCCCAGCACTTTGGGAGGCCAAGGTGGGCAGATCACAAGGTCAGGAGTTCAAGACCAGCCTGGCCAACATGGCGAAATGCCATCTCTATGAAAATACAAAAATTAGCCAGACGTGGTGACAGGCACCTGCAATCTCAGCTACTTGGGAGGCTGAGACAGGAGAATTGCTTGAAACCAGGAGGCAGAGGCTGAAGTGAGCCGCGATCACATCACTGCGCTCCAGCCTGGGTGATAAGCACAAGATTCTGTCTCAAACGAAAGCAAAAAGAAAAGAAAAGAAACTGCCGGGCGCGGTGGCTCAAGCCTGTAATCCCAGCACTTTGGGAGGCCGAGGCGGGTGGATCACGAGGTCAAAAGATCGAGACCATCCTGGTCAACATGGTGAAACCCCGTCTCTACTAAAAATACAAAACATAGCTGGGCATGGTGGTGTGTGCCTGTAATCTCAGCTACTCAGGAGGTTGAGGCAGGAGAATTGCCTGAACCCAGGAGGCGGAGATTGCGGTGAGCCGAGATCGCGCCATTGCACCCCAGCCTAGGTAACAAGAGTGAAACTCCGTCTCAAAAAAAAAAAAAAAAAAAGGAAAGGAAAGAAAAGAAAAATACAAAAATTAGCCGGGTGTGGTAGTCCATGCCTATAATCCCAGCTACTCAGGATACTAAGGTTGGAGAATCACTTGAATCTGGGAGGTGAAGGTTGCAGTGAGCCAAGACCCTGCCACTGCAGTCCAGCCTGGGCAACAGAGTGAGACTCTGTCTCAATAAATAAACAATATTTGAATACTGTTATCTCCTCCTCTCCTTCCACTCTGGGCCAAACATTCCTCAAAGGTCTAATTCCTCCTTTGCCTTGAGGCTCCTGACCCTGATCCTAGTCAGGGTCTAGAACTTGCTAGAACTGGAGCCAGTCAGCTGACAGCAGGATGGGGGTTCCACTCACAATCCTGTCCCTCCCAAGCTGGGTGACTCTATGCCCATTATCAGCCTCAGTGTCCTTGTTTATAAAAAGAAAATAGTTGGCCGGGCATCATGGCTCATACCTATAATCTACTTTGGAGGCCAAGGAAGGCGGATCACCTGAGGTCGGGAGTTCAAGACCAGCCTGACCAACATGGTGAAACCCCGTCTTAAAAAAAAGAAAGAAAGAAAGAAAGAAAGAAAATAGTTGATCCCACCTCAAAGGGTGTTATAAAATTGCATTATCAGGCCCTCAGCAAGGTAACAGGGAAAGCCAGAAACAGGTCAGCTGCTGCCTTATCATTTCAGCCAACAACAAAGCTGTATAAGGCTTGGAAAGGAAAGGAGTGAAAGCAGAGACTCCAAAAGAAATGTGCATACCCATGGTCGCGGCCGGGTTCTACACAACAGCCAAAAGGTGGCGACAACTCAACAGATGAATGGATCAACAAATTTGGTGTATTCATACCATAGACTATGATTCAGCCTTAAAAAGGAAGGACATTCTGACACATTCTCTCTCTCTCTCTCTCTCTATTGTTTTTTGAGACAGAGTTTCGCTCTTGTTGCCCAGGCTGGAGTGCAATGGTGCAATCTCGGCTCACTGCAACCTCCGCCTCCTGGGTTCAAGTAATTCTTATGCCTCAGCCTCCTGACTAGCTGGGATTATAGGCGTGCACTACCACGGTCAGGCTAGTCTTGAACTCCTAACCTGGGGTGATCTGCCCGCTTTGGCCTCCCAAAGTGCTGGGTTAATAGGCGTGAGCCACTGCGCATGGCCTTTTTTTTTTTGAGACTGAGTCGTACTCTATTGCCCAGGCTGGAATGCAGTGGCACAGTCTTGGCTCACCGCAACCTCCACGCTCTTGGCTTTAAGCGATTCTTGTGCCTCAGCCTCCCGAATATCAGGGATTATAGGCACCCACCATCATGCCCAGCTAATTTTTGTATTTTTAGTAGAGCTGGGGTTTTACCATGTCAGCCAGGTTGGTATCCAACTCCTGATTTCAAGTGATCCACCCACCTCGGCCTCCCAAAGTGCTGGGATTACAGGCATGAGCCACTGTACCCAGCCTATGATCTCATTTCTATGAGATGTCCAGCATAGGCAAACCCACAGAGACAGGAGAATGGTGGGTGCCAGGGACTGGGGGAGGGAGAATGGGGAATGGGTATTTTAAGGGGAGAAGTTTGGGAGGATGATAAATTTCTGGGCCGGGTGCAGTGGTTCACGCCTGTAACCCCAGCACTCTGGGAGGCCAAGGCAGGCAGATCACTTTAGGTCAAGAGTTTGAGACCAGCCTTGCCAACTTGGTGAAAACCCGTCTCTACTTTAAAAAATACAAAAATTAGGCTAGGTGTAGTGGCTCATGCCTATAATCTCGTTATTTTTGGAGGCCAAAGCATGTGGATCACATAAGTTCAGGAGTTCAAAACCAGCCAGGTCAAAATTGTGAAACCCTGTTATCTACTAAAAATACAAAACTTAGCCAGGTGTGTCAGATGCCTATAATCCCAGCTACTTGGAAGGCTCAGAGGAGAGAATTGCTTCAACTGGGAGGTGGAAGCTACAGAGTCAAGATTGTGCCACTGCACTCCAGCCTGAGTGACAACTGTGATACTCCGTCTCCAAAAAAATAATAATAAAAGAAAATTAGGCCGGGCGCGGTGGCTCAAGCCTGTAATCCCAGCACTTTGGGAGGCCGAGGTGGGTGGATCACGAGGTCAAGAGATCGAGACCATCCTGGTCAACATGGTGAAACCCCGCCTCTACTAAAACTACAAAAAATTAGCTGGGCATGGTGGTGCATGCCTGTAATCCCAGCTACTCAGGAGGCTAAGGCAGGAGAATTGCCTGAACCCGGGAGACGGAGGTTGCGGTGAGCCGAGATCGCGCCATTGCACTCCAGCCTGGGTAACAAGAGCGAAACTCCGTCTCAAAAAAAAAAAAAATAAATAAATAAATAAAATTAAATTTAAAAACAAATAAAAATTAGCCAGGCATGGTGGTGCACACCTGTGGTCCCGGTTACTCAGGAGGCTGAGGCTGGAGGATCTCTTGAGCCCAGGTGATCAAGACTGCAGCAAGGTATGATGGTGCCACTGCCCTCCAGCCTGGGAGACAGAGCAAGACCATGTCTCAAAAAAAAAAAAAAAAAATTGATGGGTGTGGTGGGTGAAGGTATAAATTCGCCTCTGTGTGTATTTGCCACGTGCAGCTGCAAACAGTGGTTTGCCTGTATGCCTGTAGAAAGAAATTCCAATGGATGAAGGGTGGCTCAGTAAAAAAACTTTATTGTATATTTTGAGACGGCAATGTTTTTCATATTGAAATTTTTTGTTTGTTTGAGACAGTCTTTCTCTGTCACCCAGGCTAGAGTGTAGTGATGCAATTATAGCTCACTGCAGACTCTACCTCCCAGGCTCAAGCAATCCTCCCATCTTGGCCTCTTAAACTGCTGGGATTACAGGCAAGAGCCACCACACCTGGCCCTTAATTTAAGAAAAAAAAAAAAAAAGAAAAGAAAGAAAGAAAAACAAAAGGCCTGGCACAATTCCTCATTCCTGAAATCCCAGCACTTTGGGAGGCTGAGGTGGGCGGATCACCTGAGGTTGGGAGTTCGAGACCAGCCTGGCCAGCGTGGTGAAACCCCATCTCTACTAAAAATATATAAATTAGCCAGGCGTGGTGGCAGGCGCCTGTAATCCCAGCTACTCAGGAAGCTGAGGCAGGAATTGCTTGAACCCAGGAGGGAGAGGCTGCACCGAGACGAGATCACGCCACTACACTCCAGCCTGGGTGATAGAGAAATACTCCATCTCAAATAAACAAACAAAAAATAAAAACAAACTGCCTCAAAAAGTGCAAAGGGGGGCATCACCAGGCTGGTGTTCTGAGCGGTATGGATTCTCATGGAAAGGTTTAGATCGTGCCCTGCCTGCCGGGTTTTTACAGCTTCAGGATTTACTCCGGAAGCGGAGGAGACCTCAGAGGGCTGCACAGGCCCCTGCCAAGCCCCCTTCCTTCCCACCATCTGTATCCCAGGCACTCCTAGTCTGTCTCTAGAACTGACCTCTCTCCGGAACTGCAGTCTCCCCTCTCCATCTGCTCCCAGGCACCACAGGCTGCAGTGACCGACTCCGCCCTCGTGACCCTCCAAGCCTCGCCCACCTTGGCCTCCCTCTACTCCCTTGGCCCACTCATCAATCAAAAACCAGCCCTGCGTTTTCTTTCTTTCTTTTT